TATGTGGGGCTTCTGGTTGTCCTTAAATGAGTGTGTGAAAACCTCTACCTTATAATGGTTCCTGCCAGTACCACTAGGGCATTCACTCATAAAGATGTGGTTTATATGTGTACACAAATGCATACACAAACGCACGCACTTGGAGCAGGGGATGTTCTTTTAATAGTGTTAGGAAATTCTGCAGATGTCATTATGAACATGTTCATACTGGCTCTGGTTCTTGGCAGACTAACCTTTCCATGCTGTTGAACTGGAAAAGAAGAAAAAAGAAAAAAAAGAAAAAATGAAAACTTTCTTATCACTTACCCTGCTTGCAACTTTGCTGACCAAGGAAAAAGAGGCACTAGCAGGAAAAAAGTGTGAAATCCTCAAGATTCTTGTACCATGCTTTTACAGGTGCCTTGGGGCATTTTTGTCAATGACCTGAATCCGTTTCATTCGATATCACCAGTCTGTTGAACACACTGACTTTGCCCAGAAAATGTTCTAGAAAATTGGACTGTGACTAGGTCAATAGCAAGTCTTAGTTGTCAGTGAAAGACTTTTTCTTTTCCATAATGGAACACTTTTTTTGTTTTTTAATTGTCTGACTATTTAAGAAAGTAGACAAAACAAAAGCAGAACATTTCCTAATGGTCTGACATGTGCACTGACTAGCACAAGTGCAGTTATGGACACCTTGCGGAGTTTGTAAGAGGGAGTCAGTAGCTATCACTGCAAATGGAAGAGCAGAAATAACACTGTGCTTAGATGAAGAGGTAATGCATTTCTACTATCACAGGACAAGCACTGAGCGTACTTTGCTGTTCACCCATTCCACCCTGGTCTATGCCTCTGCCATAGTTCACTAACTCTTTTAGTTTTGCTAAAGTTGTACCCATATGGTTTGTAAATGCACCTTTGCTTTTGAGTAATAAATGACAAATGGCTTATTTGGCAGCTCAAGGCTTGACTTTTCATCTTGACACTCTTGGGCATCTGGCAGATGACAGATGATAGATTTAGACAAACGGTAAAACCTACAGAGTGCCTTGCATATGTGTTTATCTTAACTTTATAACACGGTCCAAATGTTATTTAACTTTACGTATTTAAAGGAGACCAGTTGGGAATGGCATTCATATACAGTAGAACAGCTGATGCTGTTGCTCTAATTACTCATTTGGTGTAGTTACTAGCAAGTTTATAATTTCCTGAGCATGCCTGGGTCTGTTGAATTAAAGCAGGGTGTTTGGAAACAGGAAAGAGGAAACCAAATGGTAGTTTAACAATAGGCAGTAAATGTAAACCAGAACTTATTTACTTGACACATTATTTTAGTCAGATTTAATTTAGTTTGGGGGTTTGCTGGTTGGTTTTGTGTTTTTTTTTAAGGCTGCCACTTGCTTTGCCAAATAGCTTCTAGGAACAAAATCTTTAGCATGTTTTCTAGACTGAAGGTAATGCTGCTGTTTTCTGTGAAATGATGAGTTGTTCAATGTGCAGTATTGCAATGTGTTGGAGGAAAGGGAATTCTTTCTTTGTACATATTAGAAAATACTCTTTTCCGTTAACCAGTACACCAGATGCTTATTTTTTTATTGCAATAACAGAGACGTCAATACTTTATGTATTTGCAGGAGACATTAATTTTGAAGTAGTATTTGTTATTACTGGTTTACAAAAAACTTAGCATGGAAAGGTAAATTTGGCTGCAAATGGCTGTTATTTTTAAATTACTATTAAAATCTAAATTGGTGTTTATTTTTTTTAAATACTGTATTGCAGAATTTCTAACATCCATTGATGCGTGTTCATCAGGACTACATTTTGTGCCCAAAAATGTATTCACATATCTGTTTCTACAGGTCGTTTTTCATTATTAGTACGGCAGCATGAGTATTCATCTAAAGAAACATAAACAGGTTCTCTGTGCAGAGAAGCTAATAATTCAAGGGTTGCTCCTGCAAAATTTACACAAAATGCAGTCCTAGCCCACTGTGAAAAGGTTTGTATTGCATGGGTGGGGCAAATCATGCTATACTGCTTTTTGCAGACAAAACCAGCTGGTGATGACAGCAGAAAAATGACAGGTGGGCTATTATTGATAGGATATTTTCCTATATGTATATGTTTTTGATAATTTTTTTTTGCAAATTTTTTTTTTTTTAAGTGGAAGGTAGACTTTTAGACAACATTCTAAAATAGTTAGATTCCATTTTTCTCTTCCTTGGATTTGTGGTCTGATTACCCTGAATTCTCATTTCTTCTCTCTTGGTTGTATAGTGGGTTACTCTGAATTTTCCGTGGGGTATAGATTGGGCCAAATGTAGTTGCATAATACAGTACTTTCGAGGAACACATGTGAAGAATAAAAGTGTAAAATTCTTCAGATAGCAGATACTTATGAAAATTCATCGAAAAAAGGTTTTGATTGAATAATTTGACATGTTCTGGAGGAAGAAGTGTGTCTGCATAATATGCTTTTTTACTGTGTATTCTACCAGTCTGTATATACATTAACATTGTTGATGTGTGTCTGTATGTAGGAGAGGGAAGGTGGTTTTTGTGGGCAATGTAGGACCAGACAGGAATCTGTACGTGACTCTGGAACAGATGTCAGAATTGCCAGACAAGCCAAAAATTGCCATTGAGGAGATGGAAGATGAAAGCAAATAATAGAATACTGCTGTGAAGTATGAGGTAATTGCAAGAGATGATGGGATGAAACCAAAACAAATCCAGTAAGAAGCAAGCAGGAGCACATTAAAAAGAAGAGAACCAGCATATCTTTAGCATAATCCTCTACCCCATTCCCCACAAACATGCAGAGGGCCCCTCTGGCTCCCTGAGCTGCTGAGATAATGCATTGGTGAATATACATGAAGTGATCTTTCTATTTAGCTTTCCTTTCATCTGTCTCATCAGGTGTTTTCAGAATGGAGGGATAAGAAAGGTATGCAAAGGGAGTTGATTAGATGATAGAATGGAAGAGAAGTGGTTTGTAAACCAGTTCCAGCCCCATGAAGTTGCACGACACATGTCCCACTGGCTTTGGGAGGCTCTGAATCAGACCCTGCTCGCTGAGAAAAGCAGGCAGAACAAGAACCCCAAAAGGAAAGGGGGTTTTGGTTTGGTGAGAGTTTGTAATGTGGGGAAGGAGAGTTGTAACACTTCATAAAGGTTGTCTTAAAACAACAAAAAATGTTGCTATTTTGCATCTTGTTGTAGTGTGGTAGCTAAGATCAGGAAGTGAAAGAAGTTGAAATAGTTACACTTCCCAGCTGCTCAGATTGATCTTGTCTGGAGAATGTGAATTTCATAATACATTTAACTTGGCACCCTGGGATTTTTTTCTCTGCTTGAAATGTTTTTTTAATGAGAAGTTGCATTTTGGAGACATAACCTTATGCAAATGCTATCCAGGAGAATTTGATATTTAACTTATTTTGCTGGAGAGAAGGTAGTATGCTTTAATTAAACTCACAAAATTAAATTCATTAGTGTTTGAGAACTCATTGCCTGGATTGTGAACTGTGAGGGGTTTTTATCCTATATTGATGTAGGTTCAGTTATGCTCAGCATGAAAAAAGCCCTAGTGAAACATCTCTGAGCATCTGTATTAAATGGATCTTTGAATTGATAATTGTTTAAGGTTGACCTGGTAGATGTCCAACAGCTGTCTTTGTGTTGTTTGTGGTACACAATTGCACTCTGTTTAGAAAAAAAACACAGCCAAACAAACCAACTCCCCCCATGGCCAAGCAGTTAATTCATGCACAGAAAATGGTGGTTTATGTTTTATAACATTAATTATCATACACAGGGGTGGGCCTACACAAAAAAACAGGTAGATACTACATGATGAGTTGCAAGCAAATGAGGTATAAGTGAGAATGTTGGCATAGATGTAACTGAGAGGGATGTTCAATGCTTTGAGAGAATGTCATGTAAGAAAATGGGACACAACTTAGCTCAATCAAAGACATATTCAGTCCTTTGCTGAACCTTTCTATCTGAACGATAAAGTGCTTCCAAATAGTGAGTGCTGGTAATTACTGCAGATCATACAGTTGCATGAATCTGGCTTCCATTCACTGGCATGAAATATGTAAATATAAATCAGGAAAAGCCCAGTTACTCATATATTGATAGTTCTCAATTCCCATATATCAGCTGTAAAGGTTACTGATCATCTTCACTTTTCATATCAATGCCTATATAAGAGTACTAGCACCACTAAAAATGTTTATGGTTACTATATAACTTTGGTGTAGTAAGAAAATGTCAAGGTGAGGCTACCTATTTTTAAGTCCTCATTTGAAATTATGAATATGCCTAAGTAACTTGCCCAGCTAATCATATATTTTAGATATTGTGCTGAACTAATCTTTAGTGCTTCATTGTAATAGATTTGTAAGACTATTTTGGTTTTATCTGATTTTGTTTATATATTGTGTTGTGCATTTAACATTCATGATGGACTAGGTGGGTTGGACTAGATGACTTGAAGGCACTTCCCACCTCAGGTATTCTGTGATTCTGTGATTTATAGTGGTGCTCTGGTTCACAGTGTATAATGCTACCCAAACAATACCTAGTACCACCCAAGAAGAAACAGCTGGGAGTTCCTTAATAAATGAAAGTTACTGTGCATTACAAAGAGTTTTAGTTCCAAGTGAGCTATTTCTTCCTTTTCCAAACCAGGATGGTATTTTAATACTGCTGCCGAGTCTTTAGCTCCTCTTTCTTGGTACAACTGGACAGCATAGATGCAGAGCAACAAAAGCCGCTGTATAAAGTTGTTTCTAAAGCTGTGTTCATACCACTCATTTTCTGAATTTTTCTGATGTCTTGATTCTGAACTCTGATAAATCTGTTTTCATTTCAGATTCTTCTCTGTGAGCTAGTTTTTTTTAATTGTCTTTCTCTCATCAGATGTCTTTTAAGGGGAAAAGACTGGTTTGTTAAGCAGGGGAGAGGGAAAAGAATAATTAATAAAATCTTTTGTTTCCAAACAGGGACGAAGAGGCTTGGGTTCAGTCTTTGTTTGGGCATCTGGAAATGGTGGAAGAAGTCGAGACCACTGCTCCTGTGACGGCTATACCAATAGCATCTACACCATCTCCATAAGCAGCACAGCTGAAAGTGGGAAGAAACCATGGTATCTGGAAGAATGTGCATCCACACTAGCTACAACATACAGCAGTGGGGAATCATACGACAGGAAAATAGTACGGTTTTTAAAACTTTTTGTGTGTGTATATGGGTTGGTGTTTTGCACAATGACCTTGGAGGGAGGGGGAGAGAGAGAGACCTAATTTATACAAATTAATGGACTCCTTTATTAAAAAAATCATATGTGGGCAAGTTCATTCAGCCCCAGTGTTTTACTTGGTTGGAATCACCGTACCACTGTTTGAAACCAGCATGGGTATCTCTGCGTGTTGCAGCCCAATGCAGTGCAGGTATACCCAGTTTACAGCAAGTAACTCATCTAGCTGCTGCTATCTTTGAATGATGCTTTCAAGGATCCTATTGCCACTGCCACCAAGACAGATTAGATTACAAGTATCTTGTAGCCTGTCAGTAGGGGGCTGAGAACTTAGCCTCCTTTTGTTTTTCATCCAGTTATCAATAGTTTTCATATTTACATGTGTGATATTAGCAGTTTTCCTACATGCCACTCTATTTTCTCAAGTTTATTTTGATCCAGCATCGTTCCTCTTTTACGTTCAGTGATGGTCAGTTATTACTCATATTACTGCCTATTCTGGCTAGCCGGTATATTGTAAGCAAGATTAAACTCAGTGCTCATCTTCCTTGTAGTGTTCCTCATGTCATTCCTAAACAGCCAGCATCCATTTTCCATTATGTTTGCATCTTGGCTGGAAACCAATAAAATGTTTTAATTCTGTTTGGTAAACTATTGATACCATTAGTATTTGTACACTATATCTGTTTTTTCAAATAGAGTGCATTCAATATACTTCTCAATATTCAGTATACTACTCCTTTTAACCTTTGAAACCTTTGTACTAGGATTAATCAGCTTTGTTAATACTGTCCTCTTCCCAGCTCATCTATTGTAATGTATAACTTACAGATCTTGGTTTCTACCTGATCAGAAAATTTAAGTATTTGGGGTTTTTCTCCCCAAAAATGTTTTCTTAAGCACCATCTAGCATTACTGTATTTCTGTTCCTTAACAGATTCCTCTCTTGGTGTCAGTGAGGAGTTAAAAATTCTTGCAGCTATGTTTTTTAATAGTGTCTGCCTTGTCTTTCAGGATTCTGGGATGCTGGCCATCCTTTCTTGGATCCTCCCTTATTTTCAGATGATCTAATTTTTGTTTTAAACTTTTTCTGAGATACTTCTTCGTTCCAGTAATTTTTCTGTTCTTAACTTGCTTCTCTGTACTGAAATCTTATCTCTCTTCCTGGCATGTTTCTTGTTCTCCCTGATAAATAATAATAAAGACAAGAAATTACTCTGTCTCCTAGCAGTCCTTCAGTGACTAAATCCCTCTACTGTCCTTCAAAAGACCTTTACTAGCTTCTGCATGTTTAAGTGAGACGAATACAATACGAGGTGAGCAGAGATGATTGTGATTCCCTAGCCTGACCTTTTGCTTAGCCCTGTAGGACTTCCATGAGTCCTTCAAATCTAGCAGCTGCTGTCAACTCAACAATGCTTTTTATGAATACAACCAATCTTGCTTTCAAAGTTTCCAGTGACAGAAAATCCACTTAAATGTAGGGCAGGTGGCTTCAATTACCCATTGCCATTTAAAAAAAAAAATATCTTTTTTCTATCTGAGCTCCTCTAGCTTCAATTTTTAGGCATTCAGTTGTGTCACAGATTTTATGGCTAATGTGATGCTCTGGTTGTCTTAGCATCTTTCTCTCTGCCCATATAGCCTGATCAGTTAATCCCTTTTGATAAATGAAAGTAATGTTCTTGCATCATTCTGCATAAGGTATGTTTTCTTATAAGACCTCTCCCATTTTATGGGCTTGAGCACCCAAACTGGACACAATAGTCAGGTAGTAGCAGTATCAGTGCCAAATGCACAAGAAAATGTGTATCTATGAGTGCCAGCTCGCTTCCTCTCTCTTCACGCATTAAGCCTGACTGAGACTTGCTAGCTTCACTGTCATGTAATGTCTTCATCATTGTGTGATATCCAACCCAGTTTCAGAGCTACTGCTTCTCTTTTTCAGAGTTGATGGTCCAAGGACAGATATGAAGGTAGTTACGGTCTCTTCATTGCACCATTTACCACTGGCTGTACTGATTTAGTCCTCAATCCAGATGAGCCCTCATCATCACTTTCTCTTTCTCCAGTGTTTCTCCAAATGCAACATTCATCAGCAGGTGCTGGTGTTTTCTTCCAGGTCTTTGATAAAAGCCTTATGTCACATGAAGGCCAAGAAGCAAATTGTAGAAGTCCTGGTTAGAAGCAAGTCTCATTTCTTATATGTGCTATAAGCATATATATAATTTCTCTGCTTCTAAGTATATTTCTGATTTCTTATATATGCTTACATTTTGAGACCTCATAATTATCCTATTCTGTGCGTTATGTATCATGTACATTTTTATTCTCTTAAATTTTAATTTGGTTTTTTTTTAATGTGCAGTATCGCGTTATGCATCTCGTGAAATCCGGACTATACACCTTTCAACCAAAGTGGTGGCCAGAAAAAAAATACTGCAGCACTTTGGCAAGCTCTCTTGTCCAGCAGCTTATGTTATCCACCATTAAATATACTACTAGTTAATTAATTTATTAATAATTAGTTTAGATCCTGTATCAGCTGTTTTACACTAGGTAAAAACTTGGCAAATAGGTGAAATTATTAGAGCAATACTCCTTACACTTTCAAAATATTGACATATTTCGATCTTCTGGAACTTCTCCAGTGTTCAAACACTTGCTAAAATCAACAGTACAGTTCAACATGTTCCCTGCCCAGCTCTTGTAAAAAGTCTTTGGTGCTTCCAAGCTCTCTGATTTGAACTTTATAGATATTTAAAATAGCTATAAATAGGAAGGTTATTTATCTTCTTTCTATGCTCTGAAAACTTAATTTAGATTTTTTTTCCAAAAAGGAACATTCAGTGAAATAGCCATTTAGTATGCACCTATGTTGACTATTATTTCTAGACAGTTAAAACAATATTGGCTTGGAGGTTCTTTTGCTTATGATATATTTGAAAATAAAACATCCTTGTACTTTATTCTGTTCTGTAGTCTTCAACATTTGACCGTTGTCTTTCCTAGCCACCTCTATGCCTTCTATCTTCTAGTTCTTATTCATTGCTATCTGCTTCTTCTTTTATTCACTTTATTTATTTATTACTTCTTGCACAAGTCAATACTTGGTTTTTTGACCAGTGTATCCTTGCCTATTTTTTTAAAAAGTATTTCTGTGTTTCTCAGTCATTATTTGTAGTTTCCTACTCGGCTGATTTGATCTTTGTGCATTCCTGTGCTTTTTTAATAGCTGTAATTTTTTTGATTATTGTCTTGTATCCTTTTTAATTAGCATTGACTTTCTGCTTTCACAGAATTACTATTTCAATAAGACACCATTGCTTATTTCAGACAGGTCACTCCCTTATGACTTAGCTACAATCAAAAACACCTGGGTGTGATCTCACCTTTTTTGTTAAAGACTCTCTTATGAAGCATGAGAATCAATAATTTTTTAGTTTACTGAAGTATAGTACCCATTGCTTCTAGAATTTATGCACTGTGCTAATACTTGCGGTTTTATATTTTATTGTAAGGTTTTTGAAAGGCATACTTTACAAATGAAATATTAATTATTATATATAGAATGAGCATACATTATCTCCTAATCAGGGAAATAATGGAGAGATTTTGCATAAACAGTAATGAAAGTATTTAAAGATATGCCTCTTTTAAAAGCTCTTTAATTTAGAGTCTGCATTAGAGATCTCACACAGGCAATCAGAGATAAGTAAAAATAACTTTTAATTGAAATCCATCAATTCTGTAAACACTAATTGCTCCATTCTTTTGGGAGAAATACAGTTACATATGCCCATTTTAGATTATTCCTACAGAATGCATCCTTTTGCAGAGTGAATGGTAAAAATGTAAGCATACTGAGGACACATAAGAATTAACCTGAGTCTGTTGATCTTTTGTTTAATAGGATTTAATTTACCCTTGCACTCTTGTGCAAAGCAACTTTGATGTTGTGTCTGACATAAAATTCACTGCTCTCAAATGCTTAAGTATTAGACTATAAATATACCCTCCAAGACTCTTTTTCCTGTTCTATAGTATCATTGACTTCTAAAACACACAGCCTATCTGAGAGTATTTATTACAGGTACTTGTCATCTAAAGTCAGGCAAACCTGTTCCCCCTCCAGATACCTTCAGTGACAAAGCAGAAGAGTGTACAGTAGATGCAGTCAGTAGTTTTCTATTCATGTTGTGGGTAAACCTGTTGCCCCCATAAGGGATAACAACTGCGTGCTTCTGTTATGCTACAGCCTGACGAGAAATTAAATGAAGTTGTGAAGCCAGCATTTCAAACTGAGTATTAAGCAGTCCTTTCAATATGTGCACGCATGGAGACAGGGACATTACTCTCATGTGTGTGACTCTCTTCCTCATAGCTTGATTTTGAGAGCAATAATAGTAGTATCGCTGTTCTCTTCTCTAACTTGTCTGCTAAAATCCATCCCTCTTAAAGACCTATCAAACCTCATATACCTTGGAAAGAAGTCTTTGTTTGAAAGAAAAATTGAACTAAAGACAGAACTGAAAATTTTAGGGACAAAGTTTTTCAGCTGCTATAAAATGCTAAAAGAGTCCAGAATAAAGATGTCTATTTGTTTTCATTGTTGTACCACACATTTTTTCACTGCACTATATCTCACATTTTTGTTTAGACTGCTGCTCCTGTTGAGTCAGAGATTGTCTTTATATCTTTCCACAAAAAGCTTGGAGCTTGCAGTAAGTTTAAACAGAAAAATAACAATAGAATAGAAAGATTGTGATTATAAATTTATATTCTCCAAATTCTGTTATTCAGATGCTCAGCTTCATGCCATATTTGATCAAGGCATATGGTGGTTTGGTTTCTTGGAGTGAGGGTCCTGTATTCAAAATAGGAAAAAAAATACTGCTGTAGTAAATGAGGAAGAAGTGACCTGACATGGAATTTACAATCAGAATCAAATTCACTCAT